CTACTCTAAGTAGAAGCCACTCTTTCCTTTGGTATAACAATGCCCATGACAAAAAGCCTTAAACTTCTATCCATCAATGTTGCTCTGATTAACAGCTTAAGAAGATGAAACTATTTAGCAACCCAGAATGGTGAACACTGTACAGCATGAGTTAACCAGAAAAAAAAAAAAAAACCGAATAAAGGATCATTTTGGGGAGAGACAGGGAAGCACGGGATGCTCAAGTTTTTATTTTTTACAGCACTTCAACAAACAATAAAAGACTTGAATAAATAGTTTCATAAGCTAATTTAAATAAAACACAGTACTCTAAACAGTTACCCACAGTGTGTAACAGTCCAAAATAATATTGACACAGTATTTTACAAAGACCATTTTCATGATCAATCTTTTAGTGTCACTATTCCACCTGTTCTCCTTCTGAAAATGCTCTTCATACCGTGTTTTCAATAGTTGGTAATCAATGCATATATTCAATCCACATATATATAAATACATTTTTTTCATTGAAATATTTTTCTCAGCACAGCTAAAAGGGAGACTTAATTATATCCATGTTTCCTAAAGCAAAGGCATATAGACACTGTGGGTGGTTCTTGAAACCCTTTCCTCCCTCTTCTTGTGGTGGTCCTTAAGAATCTGGCAGCAGGAACAGCTTACATATATGGCTACAAATGCTGAGTCTGAAAACCATATATCCTCTGTGTTCCCACGGCACAAAGCTCAGTTACGGATGTCACCATAGACAAGCGACCACCACAATTACCATGAAGCTTCCAGTTGAATGAAAAGTCATCGGAAAAGAGAAAACCATAGAGGAAAAAGGAAAAAAAATAATTCAACAGATGGAGAAAAACAGAAAGAAAGAAGCTCATACTGATTGCATTGCACTGACAAAAAGATGCAGCTGATGTCATCATTATTTAATTCACTAAAGAGGAAGGTTATAAACAGTTTGAAAAAAAATCTAAATTACTTTGAAGAGTAGAAAGACAGAAAACAACTTGCTTTTCCAGTACCTATTATGTCTTTAAGCATATCTTTGATAAGAGACTACTTTTCTTCCCCTTTGTTCAGAAAAATTGAGTAGTTCTAAACTTTGATAACACTGAATCAAGTCTGAAAATTCAGATGTAAAAAAGTTTTCCATAATTTTCTAATATACTTTTCATAATGTATTCTGTTTTGTTACAGTATTTTAATGCCTTGGTCAGAATAAAGTGAAGATTAAGATAAAACATTGAAGTTTACAAGAACAAAAATTAGAAGACAGCAAAAAAGGTCCCAAGAGGACTATTTTTAATGTCTGAACACAAACTATTTTTCTTTCTGAAACCATTTTAACAAGTTTTCTGTAGAAAGAGACTGTATTATCATAGATCACACATTCAAGTCAAAGAGATATTATAGTGAGATGTATTAATTTTTTATAGGTTGGGACAGAACACTCATGTTCATCACTGGATTTTTCTGATGCTGCTCTATAAAATGGGTGATTTTGTAACACTCAGCTTGCCTAATATCACATATTAATTAATTCCCCGTGGCAAAAAGAACTGAATTCAACTCCCAAAGGTGTAGTATTCAGTTGCCGAAACTACAATACTTCCTGAAGCACATTTATTCTCCATTCATCCTTTCAAGCATCAAGACTGTGATTTTTTACTACACAGACCTGACATTAAAACATGCCCAGCCTGGACAGGAAGACAAAAGTCTCACAGAAGACAAAGGGAGATGAGAGGTAGAGAGTGATTATAAGCTGAATAATGATCAGTGTGCATGTGTAAAGAAATTAAGACTGTCCAGGAAGTCTATAGCTCTAACACCTTCTAAATTTCAAGTATTCAACTTCAAATGTAGACAACTACTTTAGAAAAAAAACATTTATGCATAGTATCTTAGGTTTGAAAAAGTGCTTGCAAATTAAACCCTCCTACAGCCATATCTCCTCTGTATTTTGAACTGATGGAACATCTATTGACAGATGAAGGTTGTTAAACTCTGTGATTCAGCATCAGAGAGAAAATGAGTTGATTGAATGGAGACTTAAGTAGCACAGACATGCTGTGGTTCAGTAGTCCCAGTTTAGTTTACTTGCTGGAAAAGGGAGACGAATGCCCTCATTATGGCTGCTAACGTTTCTACAGGCAAAACTCAAAAGTGGCACTATGTAGTCTGGTGGGTTAGTTGGTTTTTTAATAGCTCAAAGCTATATTAGAGCATGAACACTTAATATGGTACATATTACATCTGAATAATGAATGAGTGGATTAAGCCAAGCAAGAGAATAATCAAATTCACTTACTGGCTAAGCTGAATAATCAGTGAACAGAGTATGATGAATTCAAGCAGTCAAGTCTAAACCAGCACTGCCCTTCACACCTCTTTGGACTGTCTTTGTGTGCATGGTCCTCAGCAGTAAGAATCACTGCTGTCATGGACATCTATCTTTTCAGGTCACTTTCCACTAAGTCTGAACCTTTCCACATCATCCCCATCATTTTGTTCTAGTTCTGCTTCTCTTTTTGCTTTTCATGTTTGTTTTTTTTCCATGTTGCCATGCCTAACTTTCTACTTTGTATTCCTGTCTGGGGTACAGGAATACAGAAATCCTGAACAGGTTTTGCTCAGTCCTTTATCTTACCATCTCCAGCTCCACCTGACCACCCATTCACCTGCAGTTTGTCGTTCTGCCAGCACAAACTGTCTTTCTTTTTAACTTCTGATTCAACTTGTTCCTCCAAATCCCTTCTCCAAATCACTTGTCCAGCAGGATTTCTACTCCCTGTTCTTTCACAGATGCCTTGCACAATCTATGTTATGTTCCACAAGCATTGTTTCTGTTTCTCCCTCATCCTTTTATCATCTCCTATCCCCCTTACTCTGTCCAGGTGTTTGCATTTATTACGTCAGGTTTTGGCTTTTGCCCCAATCTCTTTCATCCTGTCACATTGTTTATAGTCGCTCTCCCCACCACATTTAATGACTCCCAGATCTGTCATTTTCTTCCAAATTACTTGTTCAGTCAGTTTGCTCCACCGATCCGCTGCCTCTACGTATCAGTCTACCCCCATAACTCCTCAAGGGTTTCTGTATTTAGCTCAGCTAGATTTCCTTCTGTTACATACCAGAAGAGGAGAACACTCAGAGTACAAGAGGAACAACCGAACAATGCTACAATACAAAGCTGTATTACAGGAGAAAATCTGTGGAATTCTAGATAGCTCACACCCATGTGAGGGATCAAATTTATTAAATTCTTAAGTTTGTAAGTTTTTCAGTAGAAACTGGGCAGATGCATACAGGAGCAGACAAGCATATTTCCATACAAGGAAACCCTCCAAATTTCTAATCGCTCCTTCTAAGTTTTTCTAGTCTTTAACAAAGATGAAACAAGCAATTAGCACAGCATATTTCTGTTCTGCTATTAAAGGTTGGCAGTTTTGTCAACTTCTGAAGAGAAGGCCTGCTGATGGGAAGCACAATCACTGCTACTCAGATAGAACTGCATTACATTCAGACTTTTAATAAAGGCAGTACCTAGCACATTTGACACCTGCAGCTTTGGTAAATCCTTTTTGTAAAAATTATCAACCACTATATACTGGAATAACTTTTGTATAAATGCTTTTTGAGTTTCTTTCATTTAATTTGTTCTTTTTACTGCTTTCCAAGTTAAAATGCATCCATCCTTCTCATTCATTTTTTTTTAAACTCACTCTGTACCTTTTCATTACTGTCTGTAGGACACTGACAGTTAAGTACTTGAAGATGGTTAAACTTGACTGTGCTAATATTCAAGTATCTATTTGTATCTTCCTTTACCTTTTGGACAGTTAGCTAAAAGCACTATCTAAAACGATGCACCAAAATTTATAGTAGCTTTATGAAAAATGGACACATGGTTAGCAACATTTCATATTTTTCTTAACTTGTTATTTTTGGAAATTATTCCCACGTGTTAACAAGTATTAAACAGGGTAAAATCACAGTTTGAGATTTCAGTCACTTTCTAAGATTGGGATACTTAGAGAAATCCATGACAACTGTTTGATTTTGAATTACACGACTTCTCTGTGCAACAAAATCTTGCAGATTTTTACTCTGGTTTCAAATTCAGTGTTTCACTCAAAAGACACTGATACTACAACAGTAAATTCTGTGCCAAGAATTTCATACATTTCTCAAAAGAAACTGTGATTTATTGACTGAAAGAAAAAAGAAGGTACTAATTTACAGGTACTTGTAAGACAATAGCAAGAACCAGATGAAAAACCTTTCACATTAAAAAACTTTGATCTTAATTTGCAGACTACATTACTTTTACATTTATCCCACCTAAAAATTGTATCAGAGTTCCAGTAGTTGTAATCCTTGAGGCTAAAATAACATTCAGAAATGCTTGTTTTCTGAATAAGTGCTGATCAACAAATCCTACTGTATGAAATTATATAATGCTACATGAACTAATTGTTATCTTGTCACACAATACTACTTAGTAATCATACATACAGTATTATATACTTGTAACAATTTCTTTCTGGTACATTTTAGAAGGCTGGACTTCAACAGGGAAAAAGGCATTCTGAAAACATCTTCAATTTCTATCAATTTTGGAGTTTTACATATGAAAAGTTTTTGCAATATAAAATTAAAGGTAACAAAATTTCTGCTGATGCTTAAGAAATTTTTTTTAAAGTGCAGAAAATAACATATGAGTGCTTTTATTAAAAACAGCATGAGGGCAAAGAAGTAGATGAATTTTAAAATGAAACTCCTAGAGATTAATTTTTCAGGAGTGGCTAAGGACTCAGTCAAAACAGTGCAGGTGATGCAGGGTACAATAAAGAGCCAGGAAGGAGTGAAATCTGAAACTCTAGTACTGAGGATTAGTTCTACCTTCAAAATACCCCTATTAAAAAATAAAACCACACCAAAAGAAACAATAAATCAACACACAAAAATATCTTAGTGGACAAAAGTTATTTCTGCAGTACCTTCAGGGGTGACAGCACTAGGACACACATCTTTTAGCAGGTCTCCCAAAGTATGCAACTGCCCTCCTGAAGCAATTGGTCGAAACAGCTTCTGTATAAAAGGTCTCTCTGTTGTTGCCTGTTTTAATAACGAAATTAACAAAAACAACAATTTAAGGACCGTGCAAATATGTAGTATTACCATTTGAGACAGGTAGAAGATAGGACAGAACGAAAGACTGCAGGAAAATAAACATCTGGAATTTCCCCATTCCGCCCCCCCACCTTGCATTTCATTCATATCATGAAATGCAGGGGAGCTTTTGTTTATTAACAATTGCAAGTAAGCTGTCACCTCAGAAAAAAGTGTGAAGATGATTTATAGACATTGTCAGAGATAAAAGTGTTAATTATTATTTTTTTACATTAGAAAACCACCAAACCTTCTGTTATGGAAATATGATCTGTTTGAACAAAACATTTTAATAAATTCTTTATTTAATTAAAACAAGCAGTAAGCACAAACTTAGGAATTCAACATACATCTATGTTTTGCTAAGTCAAAGCAATACTGTAACAGGTATCCAATATCTTCTGCAACAGTCTATCTTCCTCCTTTTAGAAGAACATTAGGCATTTTCAATGGCAAACAAGTACCCTTAAGACAACAAGACAGGTGAACTTTTTTCCAGAAGATTTTATGTCAAAAATTTCAAACTATTTCAGCTGCAAGAAATAGGACAATTTAAGAAACAAAAGAAAAAAAGTATTGTGCTTTGACAGACAACCTGCCTATTTAAAGAACTAGTCATATGTATAGAACATATATGCCCCACTTCTGCTGCAGATATGCAAAGGAATTCAGAATGATTTCACCTATGGATCCTTCAGTTTAAAGCCATTCCCCCTTGTCCAGTCACCACATGTCCTTGTAAAAGGTCATTCTCCAGCTCTCTTGTAGGTCCCTTTAGGTACTAGAAGGCTGCTGTGAGGTCTCTCCAGAGCCTTCTCCAGGCTAAACAACCTGAATGCTTTATTCCTCATATGCTTTAGCATAGTTTCCAGAAGGATCTGCTCCATGATCTTGCTGGGCGCTGCAGTTCCCTGGGTCGTCCTTGTTTCCCTTTTTAAAATTGGGATGATGCTTCTCTGTGTCCTCAGGGTAGCAAAATCTGGATACAAACAGTGCTAATGAAATGTCTGAAGATTTGAAAAATGATGGCATGCACATAGCCAAGCAGGATCCACCTCAGACAGATCCACACTTGAGAAGTGAACTCTAGCACATTATACTGAAGAAATGTACTTCCAAAACATTAAAAAAAACCCCCCAAAATCAAAAATCAAACACCCCCAAACCAACCAAACGAAAAAAGGCAACTCCCTTAAAACACTGTTATAGCCAAAACAATTTGGTATCAAGTTTAATTTTTAAAAATAATGAGGTATTCACAGAAGTCTAGTCATAGCTCCCAAGTGCCTATCATCTGAAGAAGCAGAAGTGGAAATAAACACCAGAAGTATGCAGGCAAAGGTTGTTATCGTCATCAGACTTTTAAGATAAAAATTTCCCAAGTGTGTACTGCAGTTTCTCATTTCTTATTAATAAATTATGATCAGTTTTTTCCCTAGTTATAGTAGGGAGGGAAAAAATATGAGGGAAAAGCCAAAAAAAGCCAAAGATGTATTTTCTCAGGTCTCCCACATAGTTGCTGACTGCTGCAAAACAATATCCTTAGCTGCTATCATGAAACATTACAGAAAATGAATTCAATTTTGTATTTTAAGTGTTAAGTAACACAGATGTGGTAATGTAAATAAAAATCACTGGTCTTCATCAATGTTAAAATGATAAAAGTAACTAGATGTTGTTTATACAAAGACTGTGGTTCACAAATCTAATCCTACAGGCACAGTATTACCCCAACATTCTTACACTTCTTCCCTCACATGCAGCAGATGTCTTCTGTATTAAAAGAGTCAAAAGAAAAGTCCAATCCTACAATCCACAATATTTATAGGATAACTTTCCAAAGTAGCTTAGTCATACAGGAGCATAAAAAATTTCAGAAAAATCTTACCATCACCCATTTTCAAGTGTAGGAATATAAGCCTAACTGGACTACAGCTTTCTACTCTAGTATTCCTATCCCTGGAAGTGTTCCTGGCCAGCCTGGGTACGGTTTTGAGCAACCTGGTTTCGTGGAAGATGTTCCTGACCACGGCAGGGGGATTTAACTAGATGACCTTTGAAAGGTCCCTCCCAACTCAAACTGCCTATGATTCTATTTACTACAACACATGAAGGAATGCCACCATGAATAACTGCTTACATAGTGTTGTGTTTTGTACAATATTTGCTTAACCAATCATGCAAAAAAGTACTACCTATAATCTAACCCACAAAGACGTTACTGCATAACTGCTGATAATTGCATCAGACCTAAAGCATGTATTCATACAGTATCCATAGTTTTTCCTACTAAAATTATCATAGCTTCAACAGAACATAGCACTTTTTAAATGATTTTATTTTACAATCCAGCCTCCACGTAACTGTGAGCTGTTCAAAAGATTGTGGACACATCTGCAGGACACAACAGGTGAAAGTCAATCAGTAACTGCTGACATCTACAAAGGAAATGGCTTCAAATATATGAGCATATGAAGACAATCACCTGACCCAAAAATTGCAGTGCATTTTACACTGATCATATCCACAATTTAGTATCAATTCATTAAATTTATATGAAAGCAAATATTCATCTCTAAATTAACATATTTTCTAGAAACTTGGACTTAACTGCAATTTCTCATTTTTCTACATTATTACATAGCACCACAAATCACATGCTTTGCAGAACAAATGAAAACTTCACTCTTTTTTTACCAAGTTTAAACCATAACAGTGATAGGAAAGTGACAGTGAAAACAAATTACACCACAGTGAGAAAAAAACAGGCTAAAATTACCTATTCAGCATAGGTATAGCAGCATTGACAAGAGATATAGGTGAGGGCAAGTTTTAAGACACCCTTTAAGTGTCTTAGAGACAAGCTACCCAGTTACATACTGTGCTAACAATTTTAACTTTTTTTCTCCCTATCATCCTGACAAGAGAAGGGGGAAGAAAAAAAAAAAAAAGTTGTCAGTCTGCCTGGTCCTTTTCAGAATCAAAAGAACATCAAACACTGCATGAAATCCACAATTTAATTAGTCAGATATTTTATACAGGATGCATCTTAAAATGAAAAACATAACTCATGAACAGCTAGGTTTTAATCTGGAAAAATCACAGTTACCAGTATTTTCTTCTAGAGGAAGGGATTTGCATTTTCTGCCTAAACACTCAGCTGCTATTCAGTATTCAAACAAATAAAAGTCAACATACATATTGAACACACAAAGTAAAAAAATAATTTCTTACAATTCCCACATGTGCATAAGCTGGCAGCCTAAAACTGTAAAACTTGAGACTTCCCTACATACTCCATCATATTTTCAGTAACTTGTCAAGTTCATAGTCTGTGCCATTTTGTAATGAACCACTTTACACTAAAAAAAGCCCTCTTAATTTCATAGAACCATTTTGTTTAAACCAATTTAAACTCAACCAAGAAGCTTTAGAAGTAATAATAAAAGTTTGCATAACGATGCAAGTTATTTCATAAAAAAAAAAAAAGAAAAAACAGGACAATTAACTACTCCTTGAAAATACATTTTTATTAAATATTTGCTCAAAAACATATTTTCATATTTTTAGAAGATGCCTTCTACTTTGTAGAAATGTTTTCAATTAAAAATCTCAATGCACAATGTAAAAGCGACTAGCTGAAAAGACGATGAATTGCTGTAGTCACAGAACCATCGGAATACCATGCCTGTCCAAAAACAAGATACTGCAAATCCCCATCTGAAATACTGCTCTTCCACTGGTGCTGAAATGCTGTTTTTCTGCTGGCGTTTCTGGGTGGGTACCTTTGACTCCTTTTTGCTTAATATTGGACCAGAATCACCAAGTACTTAATTGTAGAGAAGGCACAAGCAATGTTTCTGGGTGGGAGCTGTTCTTGGTTTTTGTTGTTGTTGTTTTGGTTGGTTGGTTTTGGGTTATGGGTTTTTTTTAAATAAACTCTGTCTCTTCCATAACGGTGATTTTCAGCTGAACGAGCTAAAGTACATGTAAGTGGTCAATAAAACTATGCAATCCCAGGTCGGGGGTAGAAACTGGAATATTTATTGAATACACGCTTCACAATATAAAGTCTTGGAGGCAGGACATGTTAATGAAGAGGACAGGTTATGCTAATCAGGGTATGGATTATGCTAACTAGATGATTACACGATTCTCTGCTACAGTTATGCAAGTGGTTAATATTTTCCCATAGCGAGGACCACATGGGGGGAAGAGAACAAAAGGGCTTCTACATCATCTGACATCATCATCACAAAGTCTTTCCATATCTTGCTGAAAGAGACAGGACAATCAAACATAGCTAAATATTAATGGGTCTTGTGATGAAGCTCCTCAGAGTAAGGAGTTTCTCCCAGCTCCTGCTGTCCATGGCCTGCTGCATAATCCTATCTGATCCTTTTCTGCTGATAGCCGAGTTTCGGATTCCAACAAGTACACACATAAAAATGATCTCGTTTTATCTATTTGAAATGTCACCTTTCAAATTTTATCAGTATTTTTTGAGCTTCTATTACAAGAGGCATAAAACATAACAATGTGGTATTCCTTTATCCTGTAATCATTGGCTCTTCTCCTCTTCTTCAAATCTTCCAAGCAATAGAGGACTTCTCCCAGACACTCCACTGCTTTTTTCTATACCTTTGATAAATTTTCTATTTCACTTTACTCTTCAAAATGTTAGGACTGGAACAACATTCCAAAAAAAAAAAAAAAAAAAAGACTGTTTCTAGTATTTCTTTAATTAGCCTCTGCAACCTCCAAGTAGATGCTCTAGTTATAATTTTGTGTGCTTTGAATAAGCACTGCTTTTGCCATCATCCAAAATTTTGAACTGCTTGTCTGCAATATCACTCTTCAGAGAAAAAAGTACATTTCATAATAAAATAAAATCAATTAATTTTTTTTAATAAAAGAACTAAGTAATGTTTTATATGTCCAACATG